TTTTTTTTTTTTTTTTTTTACCAATTATCCAAATAATGTTTAATCCTAGAAAGCTATTATTATCAGAGGACACGTGAGCATAACGGTTAGCAGATCAATGAATGAGAGGGCAGCGTTACCAGAGTTGCCCATTTACCACACCTTGTTACAACACAGTAGGGCTATTGCAAACAGAAACAATACTGTACTACATCGATGTTTCGATTTTTGAGTGGACTTTGCTGTTCCGATTAGCATGAACCGTATACGAGTGGAGCACTCACATGGTCCGTGAGCGACTGAGCGGAGCGCACACGCATAGAGCGGGATAATACGCAGAGCGTCACACCACGTGAAAGTGAATCCTGAGCGGTGAACTAATTTTCGGCAGCCGGAATTTCAGTGCATCTCTAATTATTGGCGACATCAGAAATGGATATTATATAATAGCTGCTTTTTTTGAACATTTTAGCTATTTAAAAATATTAAAAACTGATTTTTTACGCGGCACCCCTGCTCTCGAGAGACGGCACCCCGGTTGAGAAACACTGGTTTAAAGCACTGGTTCTGAATTCCAGTCCTGTGGACCCTCTGCTCTGCACATTTTGCATGTCTCCCTTATTTAACACATCTGATTCAGATCATCAGCTCGTTAGGAGAGAGATCCATGAACTGAACTGAGTGTGTCAGATAAGAGAGACATAAAAAATGTGCAGAGCAGTGGGTCCCCAGGACCGGAATTGAGAACCACTGGTATAAAGCACTACAGAAATGAATGTGACTTGACTTTACAACCCACAATGACAGAAACACTTCATATACCTGTAATAACCTTCAAATGCTTCATGTCTTTCTGATGAACGCAGTGAGCAGCAGTTACGACCCAGTTATCATCCAGAAGAGCCGCTCCGCACAGACTCTCACCATTATAATCTATCAACACCTGAGACAAATAATACACTCATAAATCATCTGATTGCTCATCATGACACTGCGATGTGTTGTGCACATTTACAGTTACCTGCCAAGGACAGTGACCTCTGGGACAGTGAATTCCACCCACAAACTCTTTTTGGGAATGAACGGTGTTCTTCTGAAGTGGAACCTTTCCACATGGATATTCAACTGCAGATGATAACAAAACACATTTGAAATAGAAAGTTTGGCAAGAGAAACTTTGAATGTTGGCTTGACAAAAGATTGCCTGTTGACAGTTTTATACGCCTTGTATACAGTATTGTGAATACTTTACTTTTTGAATACGTTTGGAGAGATCTGAACATCTGTAAAGCTTTTGTCATTTTTATTCTCCAGCTCATAAACACAGGACTTTTCACACCTTCAGCAACACAAGACATCCCATCAGCTCCCAGTGCGTATCCTGCAGCGCATCTGCATGCACGTCTGGGTCCGGAAGCGTCACAGAACTGCTCACAGCCTCCGTTCACATACTGACACTTAAGCGTCTCCTCAAACCCTACTATTCAAAACAGCAACGTTATATGAACTGCTGCTTATTTCACACATGTCATGATGTTCACGTACCCTTTTCACAGTATTTGCCCTCAAAGCCCTCCAGACACAGGCAGTAGTAGGTGTTGGCCAGATAGATGCATGAGCCATTGTTCTTGCACGGATTGGTCAAGCAGGGCTCCTTAGCTTATTTAAACAGAATGACAAGCATAAAATATAAAAATAAAATAAAAAGCAAACATTCGACATGGAAACACCTACATTTCTCAAGTGTTCATCAAGAATTGAGCTGAAACACATTTTTTTGAAGATACAGAACCTTTGACTTTAGGTCAATAAATACTGTCATGTCAATACAGTTGTCATCCAGAGAGGTAGTACATGTAATCACCTGTAATGAAATCAAAACACTCTTATACAAGAGTGTCACTGTTACAGTACCATATTTGCCATAGTCAATGTTACAATAAAAGCTGTTCTCTACAGTTATAGACAATCTATAACAATACCAATAACTAAAATTAGTATTCTACCTCTATGAGAATACTGAGGTCCACACGACAACTAAAACAATAATGACACAGAATAACAATATTGTTGGAATCATTTTAAAAACATTTTTTTCAGCTGATGAACAATAAAAACACTGACAGTCAATCAGAATACGACTTTAAAGAGCTTTAGCATTTAAAGCGACAGACGACAAATCTGCAGTGCGCTTCTAAACAGAATATTACTGTGTGTTGGTGTCGTTGGTATCATTACAGTCAGTGGCGTGCACAGGGGGCTGGAGGGGCTCGAGCGATTTCTACAAGGGGGACCCTCCTGCCCTCATAATGTGCATCTGAGCATGGCACTGATTGATTACATATTGTTCTTGGTGTGAAAGGGCTTTAATACTGTAGTCATTTAATATCGTCACCACTGTCATCAAAACAGCAATAATGTCAGAAATAAATTGATGACTATAGGGTCACATTTAATTTGACACATAAACTCACCGGAGTAACTCATCCAAAACTGTTTCTGCAAAAGAGAAAAGGAACATATTCAACGTTTAAAAAGAAAATAAATTATCAAATGAATACGAAGATTGAGAATGACGTACCGTCTTCGTGTCGTCCTCGAACACCTCGCGCGCTTCCTCATAGTCGCAGATTTCTTCGATGCACTCGCGCTCGAGATTCCCGCGCTTCATCTCCTCAAGGAAGCCGGAGTTTGCGCGCCTGACGCGCTGCAGCACCGAGCTGGCGTCATCTTTATCAAGAAACACTGAAAACAACAAGAACCAAACTAAAGATAGTTTGACACGCACATCATTTAGCAGGCTGTCAGTAACGATAAACGTGCGACGCGACACTCACGAACACTCCCGTCATTGCGCTCAAGCCAGTTGATTATAACCGGGAGCGTTTTAGCTCGTGTTGCGTCGCTCGCAGTTCTTTCAGTATTGTTTTGTCGTCTTACCGCCGCTTGATCCGTGAAATATCAGGACACACACCAATACAACAGCACGAGTTATCATGTTCACCAGCGGACGCGCGAGTGCTCAAGAGTTTCCTCAGACCGCTCGATTCGGTGCAAAGGGCTGATTGCACTGAGCCGATGTGAGACTTCACGAGGTTCATGAGATTCAAGTAAAAAAAAAAAAAAAAAAAACACACACACACACACACAACTGGTTTCCATGTTTTATGGGGACATTCCATAGGCGTAATGGTTTTTATACTGTACAAAGTGTATTTTCCCCTTTCCCTAACCCTACTCCAAAAACTTTCTGCATTTTTTAGATTTTCAACACTCTCAAAAAGTATGTGTTAACACATTTTTTGTTATGACTATTTTAACACCCTTTCAGACATACAGATTTTCATACAGATTTGTTTTATTTTCAGACACTCAGACATAAATTACCGGTAATTACCGTAAAGAGATCATGTACAGGACCTTTTAAAAAATACCGGTAAATTATTTCCAGCAATTTACCGGTATGTGAAGTTGTAACATTACCAAATTACTGGTAATCTGCTCTGTATGAATGCAGAATGAAGATTACCGGTATTAGCACGTACAAGTTCAGACCGTCTACTCTGGGCAAATAGGCTCGTTTGAGCTGTGGCTAGCCTCGCCTGAAATTTAGGAGAGAGTAGGCGGCTACAGTGCGGGGAGGAGTGAAATAAGCGCAGTCAAGACGGGTCCTGACTAGAGGTTTTCTCGGGTCCTAAAATCTGTACCCGACCCGAATCGACCCGAATCGACCCGAATCAATTCTTACCCGAACCCGACGTGAATAAATTTATTTTTTATGAAGATTACCGGTATTAGCACGTACAAGTTCAGACCGTCTACTCTGGGCAAATAGGCTCGTTTGAGCTGTGGCTAGCCTCGCCTGAAATTTAGGAGAGAGTAGGCGGCTACAGTGCGGGGAGGAGTGAAATAAGCGCAGTCAAGACGGGTCCTGACTAGAGGTTTTCTCGGGTCCTAAAATCTGTACCCGACCCGAATCGACCCGAATCAATTCTTACCCGAACCCAACGTGAATAAATTTATTTTTTTTAAAGAAAAACCCGACCCGAGACAGCCCCGATGAAATTAGACCCGAATCCGACCCGACCCGACCCGACCCGACAGCATTTAATTTCTAACCCGACTGGACACGCATGTAAACGGCATTGACGTGTGTACAGCCTGCAGCCCCCGCAGTCAGTCAGAAAAAATGCCGGTGTCCTGCTGACTGATTTGG